GATATATATATATATATATATATATATATATATATATATATATATAGGCTTGCAGTGAAATTGAAAACGGAGAATCAACTCAAATGCGTACTCATTTGAGCTTCATAAACGGATGAATCATTACATAGAGAAGAAATGAACATTATTATCATAAATTAAAAAAAAAAAAAAGTGTATTACGAAGTAATCACGGGGATATATAATAATTCATCACCGTACCTGAAGATGATTAAGGAAGTAGTCCTCCTCTAATCTTCCTGGTAATCTAGAGAGAGAATTATGGCGGTGAGAGGAGGAGGAAATGGTGGAGGAGTGAGAGAGAGGAGGAGCCTTTAAATGGAATCAGGGAAGGGAAGCCACGCGGAGGTTCATCACGCCCTTTTATTCTTCTTTTTTCTTTTTTCTTTTTTTCTTTTATTTTTTTTATTTTCTTAATGAACCAGTTATCGTCAAGTGCTAATTCTATTGGCCAGCGCTTAATGTAAGCTATACATTAAAATTCAAATTTTCCTTTTAATATTTTTTTCATTGTTAATTTGTTATTATACTAATTGATTTTTTAGATTATGAAATTGCTAGCAAACTTACTAAAAAGAATGACTTGGTCATCTTTTCTCCACCAATCAGGTCACTTTTAGAGACAATTATCTATAGTAATTTGCTTAATGACAAGGAAAAGAATCAATTAATCAAGGGTTGCCAAAATATAAATACGATAACATATATATTTCAAAAAATAAAATAATATATTAATTGAGTGGAATCAAACTTAAGATGCAATTATTAACCCTTTTTTCTATGTTTTACTATTACTACATGCCCGTAGGACCATTATTTAGTTGAGTAAAAAACTTTTGTTCAAGTCTATGATTTATATGGTCTATGGATTTAGATTTGCACATCTATTCATCACATTGTTTTATCATATAAAAATATAAAAAATCATTAATCCTTTTTATAGCTTTTGACATAGCAATGCATCTATTATTATGTAAATGTGCATACTTATTATTGCATGAATAATAATACATATACAAAGTAATAAATGGTAAAATGGAAAAAGAAACATTTTGGAAAGTATAATTGACCGTATGGCCACGGGTATTAAAAATACCATTTTTTTTCTAAAATTGAGAAATTGATCAAGATGCTTAAGGCTTGCGAAAATGTGAAAAACGACATATATTTAGAAAAAAAATAGTAATATAATAACAATACATTTAAATGTACTAAAGTTTTTTACTGTCTATATATATTACTCCTTATCAGTAATCAGCCCAATAAATTTACTGTCTGCAAAATCCAGATGAAAATTGTTATTTTGTCTATGGCATTAACTCAAAAGGTCATAAAAGTTTGGGGAAAAGCCCAATTTTATGGTTGGTAGTTGGGTCTTGGAACTTGGGCTTACAAATTTTTTATGTAGAACGCTGTTCCATTCCACCACTTATTGAGTTACAATAACATATTCTCTAAAAATAAAAAATAAAAGAAAAGAGTTACAATAACATCTAATAAAATACTCCATCTGTTCCATGATATTTATCTTTTTTGAGATTTTTTTTTTCTTCATATTATCCGTCACTTTACAATTCCAATGCTGCATCAATTCTTATTTTTCAATTTTACCCTTTTTAACTCTATAACACTTTTCCTGCATTAATTAATAAACAAGGGTATTTTGGTCCATCAATATCTATTTTCCTAAAATCAAGACATATTTATTGAGATTCTTAAGATTTGTGCCAACGTGAAAAACGACACCTATGAACGGAGGGAGTAAAGTCTACCCATTTATCACCCCCACAAACAATTAATTACTAACAATTAACTACTAATAATTTACAACGTATTTGTCACAATTGTATTGTATTATCTTTATATTAGGGCATGATTAATGTTTGTTGGATGTTAGCAAGGCATAATTGGTTGGCCGACAAAGTGATCGGCCCTGGCCACAATTTCTTCACGTTCCGTGCAATCATTCTTCTAACCAATTACATGAATTCCATTTTAGTAATAATATTTTTGCTAAATTATATTTGATTTATCCTCAATAAACATCAACCATATTTTAAAAGGCTAAGCAAGGATCATCATACAATGCACTAATTAACTAAACAATGGACTGATTTGACTCAGATTCATTTACACGCGTAAAGATAGAGGCCAATTTGTAAGGCTATTAACAAAAGTAGCTTATCCTGGACTTTGTTTATTAGGGTAAAGTGGTGGGATTTCTAACAACTCTACAACATAATTAGTTCCCTATAATTATTTATAATAATTGATTTAATTACAAAAAGATACTTCTAAATGTCTCGATGATGATGAATTGTCCTAATCTTAATACACATATTAGTACTCTAATAATAAGCCTATCCAAATCTGACCAAAAAATAATGGTCACCATGTGGATTACAAATAAATTATTCATGAATTTGATAATATATTACAAACATTTGTAGGCATTATCATAAGCCAGAGGTAATTGCCCCCTGCTCTGAGACACCATTCAATAATTAGACTTAATTTAAGATACATCCACTAACCTGAAATTTATCAAAGCCGCACGATTTTCCCGGTTATTTTCATGCCACACCCGGTGAAGATTGTATCGGGTGACTTTTTACCGTTAATCTAAATTCTAAACAATGTGGGTGTGTGTGCGCTTATGAATGATAAATACCTGATATTGTATTGTATAAACCCGTTTTCCCTTAGCTATCCGTAAAAGAGTAGATTACGTTCTTACCACATGATTTGCTTTTCTAAATAACATGATTATATTTTGCTCCGTTGTTTTCTGAACTAAGATATATAGATGACAAATTAAATGACTAGCCAAGTGTTTTTTTTTTTTAAATTATTTATTTATTTTTAATTTTTTGCAATTATGTGTGAAACCCGACAATTATATGTTTGACCCTACACAATTTAGGCTATGTTTGGAAGCGTTTTGAAACTTATTTTGATTTCATTTTGAGAAAATATGTTTTGGGGGAATAATTTGAGAATGAAAGTAATGTTTGTTTATGTTTTGGAAGAAGACAAAATACACTGTAGCTTTCAAATCATGTTTAAAGTTGTTAGAAAAATGTATTTTGGAAAAAAAAATTGAAAGATAACGTGATGTTTATTTGTTTTTTAGTAAATACATTTTTCACTGTAGTAGTCAAATCATTTTAGTATAGCACATTAGCACTCACATCATGTCTGAAAGAGAGAGAAACTTTTGATATTGTTTTGAGAAAATTATTTGAGAAGTGTAATAAATACAATTTTGTTTTGGGCTGTATTTATGGGCTTTATCCTGAGTAGTTAGAGGCCCAAATAAACATAGCCTGAATATTTAAAGCCCAATTTTAACCAACATCATTGACCGACCACACCAAGCCCATTTAAAACCCTAAATTGCAAATTTCCGGCTATTTAAATTAGCCCCCGTCGTCTCTGTTACCATACAACTTGTTTTTTCTCCCCTTTCTCTCTCTCTAGAAATAAATATGTTTCGCTCTCTAGTGTGATTAAGAATTTGTTGAAGGGTTCCTTCGACATAGTTTCGAAACGGGATTGGTGAATTATATCCCGGTGGTATCATTAATTTGTTTGTTTTATTGATCGTTTTTAAAATCTGCTTACTTTAATTTTAATGTTCATCGTTTTATTTTGTGGAAATTTGAAATGGTTTACGAAACTGGGGTTGTTCAGTCCAATGATGGCATGAATATCTTTGAGACCTGATTGTCAATTTGATGACAACTACAAGCATTTTTTCTGAGGAATATCGAATACCCCTTTTTATATATTGTTTTTCTCTTCTATTTATTTTTATTTTCACGATTTGTTTTATTTGGTTAATTGAAATGATGATCGCACTGGGCTCTGAGCAGTTTATCTGCCAATTGATGGATAATGCAGCCTAGAAAGCTATGTCTGATCTTTTGTTTAATTTCTTCATTTATAATTACGTAATTTGAAAAAAAATATATTCTTAATTTGATGAATTTACACTTGTTGGCTTTTGTACAAGTGTCGGAATTTGATGTTGGTGTTGTATTTAAACAAATTTTGATAAATCTGAATGATGTTTCTGCAGTCAACAATTTACAGCTTGCTGATGAAGTGAAGCATGTAATCAACCTATGTTAATAAACCAAATCATATAAAGACAATAGCATGCGAAGAATAATTGTATTTATTGTATAAACATTATGTTGAAAAGTAATATAAATTGGCATACTTTAACACAATAATTAACTAGTAATTTTACAATAGAAACCAAGTTAGAGCAACTCCAATCCATTGTTATCAAATGGGGTTATCAAATACTCATTTGATAATTAGGATTATACTTTTGATATCTCTATACAATTAGTGAACTCCAACCATGAGTATCATAAAATAATTACCAAACAAATTTATAATTATTTATATATTATTTATTTTTTTATCCATTTTAAATAATCATACCTCTGGTAAACCAATATTAGTCAAGCTTTTAGTTACCTTTTCTAAACCGAAAAAATAAATTATATATGTATAGAGCTTCTTTTTTCCGTTGAACTTTGATGAAGCTCTTCATCTAGAGAAGAGAAAAAAAAATTATGTTGAGATTTTTTTTCCAATGGAAATTTGTTTAATTTTATTCTGTTGAGATTTTTACGTAAAGAAAAAAAAGATTTTTACGTAAAGAAAAGAAAACTTAATTTTGTTGATGTTTATAATTTTTCACATGCTCCTATTTTTTAGGAGAATATTTGATAATTACTTATCTGGGTGAGTTATCAAAATAGAACTCTATTTTAATAACCTGAGAGAGTTTTTAAAATTGGGTAGTCAAATGGATGTTAAGGGATTTGATAACCCATTTAATAATCCGTTGGAGTTGCTCAGGAGTTTAATCAAAATAGAAATTTATAAGCAAAACCATTTGTTTTTTAAAATGAGAGATAATTTTTTAAAAACTGTAAAAATTATAAATGTCAATTCTTTTTTGTACTCCTCTTTTTTTTGGTAGAAAATTTGGTATGTATGTTACTTGTGAATTTAATGTGGGCTATTTAGTTGGTGTAATCCTAATCCTAGTTTCTTGAATATCACAAAACATTGTATACTATAATACACATATTTGAATTAAAAAAAAAAAAGCTGAAATTGTCAAATCATGTGGTATAGCTGAAATTGTCTATTCTAAGTCATACATACTAGTGCTATATTATGCAAAGTAACAAACACAGAAATAGCAACATATAATAATAATAAATATACATAATCTAATCAACAATTAATAAAAAAAAAAACAGGATAGTATTAACATCCATTACACATACATAAATATAATTCAATAGCACTTCTAATTTCCAGAACTAATAATCAATTTCTTCATGGTATAAAACATTTTGCAAAGCTGCTGATAAGTTTTCCCCAAAACCCTTTATTATTAACTTTAGCATTACTAGATAATATTGCTTTCTTGTTCGCATTCTCTGCTGATATACTCACATTAATAATTGGCTCACATTTCACTTCAGGAAACACTTTCTTGAACTGAGAATGTAACCTCGTCAAATTCTCCTTAAATCTCGGAGAAACCTTAACGCATGCAATATTATTGTCACTGTTATCCATCTCATGAAACTGACCAACCAGCACACGACCCTCGTGATAAACCTTAATCGCCGCTAAAATATTAGCTGCCCTGTCACGAAAATGTTGAGCCACAAAACCCTCGAAATTCTGCGGCGGCTTTGCCCTAACTTGCAGCATCGTCTTGCACGAAAGAACAAAAGCATCCTCACTGTACTCAATGGACCTGTTTATCCATTTACAACTCTTACTATCTTTGAAATATCTAATTCCAGGCTCGTTAAAATACGGCCTCTCGTTTAAGACAAGCCCCTGGATCGAAACCAGAATCTGAAGAAGAGTTGATTCTTGCGTCCACTTCTCGATTTTCTTACCTGACCATGTATTTATCAGGCTTAAACAAACATACCCATTCTTGTAAAGATTTGGATTTAAACGATACCCGTGCGAGCGATAGTAGACTTTAGGTGGGCTTTTGGGGTAGTCGTAGGGCAAGAGAATGTCGAAAAAGAATATTCCGTCGTGGTAGGGTGTTCCGGCCGGGCCGAGTATGGCGGCACGGAGGAGATCAATTCTTGATTCGTAGACTCTGACGTAGATTGAATCGGGGAGGTTTTTACTTAGGATTTTCCATTCTTTCATGATTTTGGCGTAGACGGGAGTATTGGCGTTAGTGAAAGATTGTTGTTTGGTCTTGTTGGAGTTGATCTGGTAATAGTAATGGTCGGTTGGCTCGGCTTGCACTACGTCAAAATGCTCGAACTGGAGCATGCTTTTGTCGTTGTTGATTTCGGGATCATTATTACCTGTTTTTTTGAAGATTTAATTTGCGAAGAATATTAGTATAATATTCATGAGAAATCAGGGTTGTAGTTAAAAAAGATACATATGAAATCAGCATATTCTTGAGAATAAATCAAGGATAAAAAAAAAACAAAATAGTGAGCCTAAAAAATATTGAGGAAAAACAAAATATATCCCTTGGTCTTCCAGCATAAATCTTGATAAGATGAACCTCAAAAAATAATAATAATAATGAAAAAAAAATTATGTAATTCATTTATGGGTGAAAATTAAAGAAGTAGGTACCTGAATCCATGTGCGATGAACAAGTGAGTGTGCTGAATGTGAATGATTTATAAATTAAAGTTTATTATATATAGGAGTTAGATACAATGTTTAAGTAGAGAGGTTCACGGGTTCTGTTTACATATCTGAAGAAGTAAAACACGTTCATCATGGCCATGTTTGGTTATGAGTCAGAAGATAAAATATCAAAGGAATATTTCTCAAATTGAACGACCTAATAAAGTGCTACATTAGAATGGCAACCAAACAAGGACCCTTTAACCAATTCAGTCTTATAAGCCTATAGCTAGCTACTACGTCTCTCTCTCTCTCTCTCTCTCTCTCTCTCTCTCTCTCTCTCACACACACACACACACACACATATATATATATATATATATATATATATGGATCTATATGGATCTCTCTTATATATAGACTTATAGTGGGTGGTGGTGTTTAAGGCCATATTAGGGTTAATTATTTACTTTTAGAGAATGTCTGTTGCCTTTCACATGCAATTATTTCACTATTTACTCCAAGTGACATATATATGAACCACGTCTGAATTGAATATAAATTATAATACAGGGGTTACTTGTTCACCTCAAAAGTTTGAAAATTTTGTCCGGCGCGGCCCTTAAACTTTATAATCCTGCATTTTCAAGATAAATCATAATGGCTATATATAATTTCAGAACATAAATTCTTTTAATTTCCGGTTCTTGTAACAACTCCCACTAACTCTAATAGCAAACTATTAATTACTATAATAATATTGTTAAGGAAAAAAAGACAAATAGCCCATGAATATGAAACTAGCTGAATATGGAAAAAAAGATAAATTAAATAGAAATTAAATTGAACCCAGGTGAATCACGGGGATTATGTGTAGATCTACTGATAACAATCGCCCGGTGTTAATAACCGGGTGTAGCATAGAATTTTCCGGGGAATCGTATAACAAAAAGCCATACACACTAGCCTATACTTAATTAATACTTGAATAGCATTTCCCAAATTTGCTGACAAGTTTCCCCAGAAACCCTTTTTTATTAGGCTTTGAATTACTACTAATGCTGCTGCTTTTGATAGGCAATTCTTTCTTCACTACACTCTCTGTTGATTCTTTTGAATTATTATTCATAGCACTATTAGTAGTACTGCTGCTACCTATAGGTAATTCTTCGATCACACTCTCTGCAGATATATTCATGTTAATTGCCTCGGAATTCAGATCAGAAAGCGCGTTCTCGAAGTCAGAATGCAAACTCGTCAAATCCGCCTTCAATTGCGGCAAAACCTCAAACGAAGACTCTCCTTCATTAGTATTCGGTAACTGACCAATCAGCGCACGTCCCTCTTGATAATCCTTAATGGCTGCTAGAATCGAGGCTGCCCTATCTCGAAAATGTCCAACAACTAAACCCTCGAAATTCTGGGGCGGATTTCGAATAACATGCAGCATTGCCTTGCACGAAAAAACGAATGTTGCCTCGTTGTAACGAATGGACCTGTTTATCCATTCGGAATCCGTACTGTTTCTCAAATCTCCGAAACCAGGCTCGTTGAAATACGGCCTCTCGTTTAGGATAAGTCCCTGAATCGAGACCAAAATCTGCAGAAGAGTTGATTTTTTTGTCCACATCTCATTCTTTTCACCTGACCATGTATTAATCAGGCTTAAACAAACGTAGCCAGTTTTGTAAAGATTAGGGTTTATATGATATCCATGCGAATGATAGTACACTTTAGGGGGCTGTTTGGGGTAGTCGTAAGGCAAGAGAATATCGAAGAAGAATATTCCGTCGTGGTAGGGTGTTCCGGCGGGGCCGAGTATGGCGGCACGGAGGAGATCGATTCTTGATTCGTAGACTCTGACGTAGATCGAATCGGGTAGGTTTTTACTTAGGATTTTCCATTCTTTCATGATGGTTGATAAAGTGTTGTGTTTGTTGAGACACTTTTTGGCGGTGTCGGAGTTGTTGGAGTTCAGGTAGTAATGGTCGGTCGGCTCGGCTTGTATTGAGCCGAAGTTGTCGAACTGGAACATGTTGTTTTCGGGAATATTACCTGGTTTTTTTTCTTTCTCAGATTTAATTTGCAGAAAATAATAATAGTATTATATATCAGATATTTGGGGATGAATAATCGGGTGAGGAGGAATAAATCAGCTGTCTACAAAACTTGTTTAAATTGAAATTGATAACAACCAACACAAAACATGGAATAATCAGTAAATAAGTATTTTAGTTAGCATGTTTAATAGTACATAAATTAAATTAATGACTCAAAAAAAAAAAAAAAGGGGAGGAAATATATTTTCATACAGATAACACAACAAAATACTATCCGATAAGAAGATCAAGTTCAAGAAAAAACACAAATAAAACGCAGACAGAAATTAATCATCGCCATGGGTGAAAAGAAATACCTGAATCCATTGAACGATGAACAAGTTGTGCTGAATTGAATGTGACGGAATGATTTATTAATTAATTAATTAATTGTGGTACGCTGTTTTAATATATATACGATGTTTTGTAGGTTAACGGGTTTGTGTATTTATACATGTGAAGAATCGTAGTTTAAGTAAAAAATGTAAAACCCTATATACGGGATTACTGTAAATATGGATTAGTTGTAGTTAATTAGGGTAAAATGTGATTTGATTACTAGTTAACACTCAACACAAAGTAAAGAGATGTTTTTTATTTTTATTTTTTTCAATTTTGTAATACTTTATGTAAACAGTCATAAATATTTTACCAAAATCGGAGTGAATTTAGAAATTTCTCATATTTAATTCTTATTTCGTAATTCAGATATGTATATTAAGTCTTACTAATGGGTTCATTCGAGTTTTCTGGTAAAATACATCACGTGATTTTACACCATTGATCTACAAATAATAATCGAAACGGGTATCCAACAACCTTAATTATAAGAAGCTAGTAGGGGAATTGAACTACTGTATGTAGAAATGGTGTTTGGTTTCATTACATGGAGAAAGAAAGAAGCAGCAAACCAATTTCACTACCTTACACTGAACTATATACACAACCTACACTTTGAATTGTTCGACACCGCTACGCATCCATGAATATAACCTAAAATGGCAATCTTCCATTCCCAAAAAAAAAAAAAAGAATAAATAATGACATGAAAATTTGTGAATCCTCTGTAACACTCTCACTAAGCAATTTGCAGACACCTATTAATAAGTTCTACAACGCCATAAATAATTAATTTTTGTTTTATATATAGAGTTTCGATCTTCATCCTCTACAAATAGTTACTTTTGGGCAGCAGCATCTACAGCCGCAGCACGCCCTGCTTGAATTTGTATTGCACATTGTCTCTGCATATCTTTCAGCTTCTCCATTAATTCTTGGAATGATGGACGACTTTGCGGTTCACTAATTTCAACACCATCAATAATTTCCAATATTAGCAATCAATATTCACTCACTAGGCTTACTTTCCATAGCTAAATAATAAAACAACATAAATACAATCTGTTTGAGTTACCGAAATCACCGAAATTTGATCCAACCAAGACTGGAAAATCATTTTTAATTTATTTTCTATGAGATGGAGAAATTTAGCAGCAAGAGAATAAATACAAACCTTCGCCAGCAGCTTTCAATCATAGAAGCCCACTGTGGTTCAACATCCTTTGGTATATCTAGACGTTGGTTCATAAACCCCACAGCCCCAATTACCTGTAACAATCCTAACAAAATCGGTCATGCATGTACGATATTTTACAGGACAGTTTTTTGGTGATGCAGTTTGTCTTTCTTTGTATATGTGTGTGTGTCCGTATATTTTTGACTTGTCCGATTTTCTTGAAGTAAGTTCTTATATACTGGAAAGATGGACAATACCTGCATTGAGTTGAGGTTATCCCATGGAATCTTATGCGTAACAAGTTCCCATAGTACCACTCCATAGCTATATACATCAGCCCTGAAACAAGAACCAACGTTCAAAATTTCAACATTTATATATATCTCAGTATATGTTAGTTTAAACCAGACTTAATAATTGGTCATACTTCTCATTTGAAGGCTCGTTACGAAGAACTTCAGGAGCCATCCACTGAGGCTGCATTAACAGATAAGCATGTTTGTCAGCATTGTATGCACTTGAGGCTCATTAAACACAAAAGTAATTTAGAACACGTTGCACGTCTATATAAGTACAGAAACAAGTCTCGGGTGCCAGTTAAATACCGTTCCTTTGCCCGTTTTAGTTTCCAGATAAGTGTCGTGTTTGAGGCGTGACAGGCCAAAGTCACCAACCTGATCAAGTGAAATAAAATATTAAGTTTCATGAGTCATATTAATTAAAAAAAATCCAAAAAAAATAAAAATGAGTGCAAGCTGACCTTGACAGTCCAGTTCTTGTCAACGAGTAGATTTGAAGACTTCAAATCACGGTGAACAATAGGCGGATTCCAATGATGAAGGTAATTCATACCTCGAGCCTGTACACATCCACAATTCAGAGAAAGAAAAAAAAAGATTAAATGATTATTCAAGAATTTTTATTTCTTCAATAAAACTCAAATGCTAATACGGCACTTTAATAGAGCTTAGGAACTAACGATATCCAAAGCCATGTGAATAAGACGTCTCTTTTCTAGTTTCGATGTATTCCTTTGTAATAACTGGAACAAACTTCCACTGCATCAAACGAAAGAGGGGAACTTTAATATTAGTCACCTGATAAACTGTTAACGTGAAGTACGTTAAACAATAAAGACACCTCATAGTAAGAAACTCTGTGAACATACCGTGGAAGAAACTCTGTAACAATGCAAAGACATTGAGGTGACGAAACTGCACCCATGAATAGGAGTATATTTGGATGTCTGAGTCTTTTCATAAGTGAAACCTTCAAAATAAGACAATGCATCTTAAGCATATCTAGGATGGTACGTCCAGGGAAGGTAGCAATTTGAATAAGAATCATGTTTCAGCATGAAATCAATTTATTATCGGACAAAACAAAACTAGTAACCAATCTGGCAGTCTTTTTTGCTCAACTGTAAACAAGTATATTAACACTACCAAATTCTAGAGAGAGAGAGAGAGTATTGAAATGAGCACATACCTCCTCCCGGAAAGAAAGTATGACATCATCCGGATATTCCTGTTTTGAGAATACTTTGACAGCGACATCCTACAGAATACAAAAGTTCATTCTATTACAAGACAAGACCGGGAAATGTTCTCATTAAATGAATAAGTACATGACGAAGAAAATGTAAGAGCATAGGTTGGTTTTTTCTTAAGAAAAAAAAGAAGAAAAAAAAGAAGAAAAAAAGGGTGTACATATTAAATCTAGTCCAAAATAGCTCTTTGAGCTTTCCTCAAATGACAAATTCATCGGTAAAATTTGGGGATTTCAGGTTAAATGAAAGAACACACTCAGGCATCATAAACCGATAGGAGAGACATTTTAATTAAATATAGAGCCAAAGAACATACTGATCCATACCACAGAGCATGATATACAGTTCCAGCAGAACCTGCAAAAATATATCAAAAGTTGATGTAAGAAATGATAAAACGAGGATAATTGAGAAACACGCTACAGTCAACATCAGCCATGAATTAGAATATCGATTCCAACTATAAACAATAACACATGTCTTGTTAACTTATTGATCATAACACAGGTCCTCTTTAAAGCATATACCATAAAATACAACCCTGGCATTCAATAAGTGAATTTTTTCCATACTGTCAAGCCTCTCCCCAATATCAAGATTCATGAGCAATACAGAGTACACGGACGATGACTAAGAAGCTAAATAATCCAATTAAATTACTAAAATCACTAACTAACCTCTCCCGATTTGCTCTCCAATAGTCAAGTCCTCCCATAAGATTTCATAATCCAAGCAGTCGCTATCCATATCAAATTTATTAGCAGTGCCACTACTGGTACTCCCTTGACTACTAGAACTGCTAGCACTGCTTGTGTTGTTTACATTGACCGACGACGACCAAGAACCTAAAGCCTCATTATTTCCTGTACAATTGTTTTCACTAACCTGATTTTCCAACTTTAATCTCGCAGGAAACCCCTTTTGTTCCCCCGACTCATTTTCCTCGTTATTCTGTAGCCACGGCCAGCCAAATCGAGAAGACTTCGGTTCTGTTCCATCCTGTTCGTTTCCTTTCCAGGGCCACGTTAAGCCTTTCTTAGAAATCCAAGTCTCTGCTTTGGAGCTAAGTACCGCAAAATTTCCAGGTTTCGCTTCGCCCCCATCGCAAGAATCTCGAGATGGTTTGGTTGGGGAATTTTCTTCGTGATTAACACCAGAGAACACTCCAAATGGAGAAGAATTTATTTCCCCTCTAGGCGTACTAGCTCCACTCGAAGCACCATCATCTCGATTTTCAGACAATGTCATATCTGATAAACCATGATCCGAGGAATCTAAGTTGTTCTCTGCAAGACCCATTTTCGATTTGACCTTGTTGCTCACTAGAGAAGCCTATTTTGAGATTTGGATTAAGTTCAGCATCACACATCACAAAATAAATAATAAAAATACACATAAAGAAAACTAGACAACACACCAAGTTTGATATAGTGGATGTGATTGTTGGTTGTGGAAGCTGTTTATGATGACTGTGATCAAGTCCAATTCTTGGCCGGGTAAAACTTGGGCCCGCTTCCAAGTTTTTCAGTTCCACCATTGCTGCTTTTGCTTGTTCGAACGGTCTAGAATCAGTTGATACAATGACGATTCCAATTAACGTACCAGCATCATCGTAGAAAGGGGTATCAGTTGCCACAATTAAAAATCTATCACCTCTACGATTTCTTACAGGGAACTGCCCTGTCCAATTCTCACCGGTCGCCACACGGTGCACAATGTTGTTAGCCACATCAAAGTCTTGAGGATCAGCTAGTAGCTCAATTCCATCCCGCCCTATAGCCTCTGATGCCAAGTATCCGTACAGATTTTCAGCACTCCTATTCCTGCACCCGAAAGACGGCCATCTTATTCATCAAAGAATTCGAATATACATTATACATTGCTAACATAATACCACATTAAATTCAGCATAAACAATTGGATAAAATCATACCCATAACTTTCACTTGCCTAAAATGGAAAAACAAAGAAACAAAAATGGAAAATACAGTTCAATTTCACCAAACTAACCAGTAAATTATCCGAGAATTCAGATCAAGTATATGCACTGATTGCCCCATTGACTGCAAAATATTCAAATACTGGTCATCCGTGAGCTTCACAGCAGCTGGTCCTCCACCTCCTCCACTACCATAGCCGCCGCCGCCGCCACCACCACTACCACCACAATCTGTATTACGATTCTCCCTCTGCAGAGGTGAGGAATGGCGAAATGAGGCAGAACCCTTCTTCCAAGATGCCACCAAGCTACCATCTCCCCTGGCTGCCCTCGGCCGTGGGGCCCGCTGAGGGGATATGGAGTGGGACCTCTGCCTGTAACGATAATCAGCCGCCGCCATATTTTCAGCTGATCTGGATGAAGTCATAAACATAGACATCTCCTGCTTCAAGTGGGCATGGCCTAATTCTAGCTCTTGAATCTTCTTCAGCAGCTCTTCAGCTGGCGGCGGAGATGATTGTGCTGTACTCTTCTCCATAATTGCAAAAAAAATCCTAAACTACCCTTCAAAAATTCTCCATACTATCCAAATTTATTGAAACCCTTCCAATATCAAATCTCCGAAATTACAACCACAAAAAAAAAAAAAAAAAAATCCCCAAAACAAACAAGGCTCTCGATGTTTTTCAATTCTTCTTATCTCAGTACTCTGATAAAAGGAATGGATCTCGGACAAAGATCACAAATTTGTAATATTTTTTTCAGGGAGACCTTTTATTTTTCTTATATTGATAAAATAATATGAATACAGTAATAGTGATAGTACGTATGAATAAAAATTAATATGTGATTATGTATGTATAATCAGAAAATGAATAAAAACAGTGAGAGGTACAAAAACTGCACTTTTGGCTTTATCCCCGCTTTTCATCTCCCCCACTCAAACCTTTTTCAGACCTTCTCTCTCTTGTTTCTCTCTCTAAAATTGTCTTGCGAGCTCTGACAGTCTGGCTGCTATTGGGCGGTTCTGCTTTTAGTTATAATAATATATAAGGACTTGACCGCCAATTCAAACTAAAATCGGAGCGTGTAGTACACGCACTGTAATAGCCAATCATATTTCGTTCAAGCCAGAGAAACTCAAACACGCGAAGCCACGAGAATATTGAAGCCTCAGGTTTCGTTTTTGTCCACCTCCTTTTCTTTTTTATTACAAATGCATAATAAAATAAAACAACTAACAACCAACTCTCTTTTGGTTTATTTATTTATTTATTTATAATGTAACATTTTACTCAAGTGTGGAAATTGAACTCATCCATCGTATTAATATTACAATTTTTTGTAATTGAAAAAAAAAAAATTCAATTTTGTTTCAATACTTATCGAGAAAATTGGAAATTAGAATGGAAAAAACTTGTTTCAAAGTCGTAATTTTTTTAATGTAAAAAATAATAATTCTGTTACAAAACCAGCAAAATTCAAAAATTTTGTTCCAATAATTACCCATTAGAGTAGATACATCAAATATTTAAATTTAAGGTGCTTGTTATTTAAAAAGAGAAAATTAGTTGGTGGTATTGCAATTTTTCTATATTGAGTGACTTCAACTTGCCAACTTGATGACATAATTAATTTTGTCCACCCAACATAATTAATTATGTATATTAAATGAACAAACTTGGATAATAAATCTATAGCTTCTATTTTTCCTTCTTATCTTCTTGTAATTACTGATTTAAAAAAAAAAAAAAAAAAAAAAAAGAATAGCCCATAGTAGCAACATTAATAAGAATTAATCACTTATCCAGTAAAGTAAAATTTACTTTTTAGATAAGTGACATATGTGACAAAAGTGCTTTTTAACTATTTAATTAATATTCCTACCTTTTTTTCTTCTTCGTTTGTCTTCCTTCTTTATTAGTTCTTAAAAGTTAAAACACAGCCATAGGTGAGATGATTGTTTTTTTCTTAATTTCCATCAACTAAATAAACTATTATTTTAATCTTTAATTTGAAAAATTAGTCATTATAACTAAAAAATGGGAGTTTATTTGGCATTTGATATCCCAATAATTTATAGGATCGGTTAACGCGCAAATATTATATTATTATGAATTATTTTTTCTTATTTTGTGTGTGCATGAATTATGATATGACTGCAGAATTAGAGGGCGTGTGCATTTTATTACTTGGATGTATTGAATTAATGACTCTTTCCCTTCAGGCCCAAACAAATCTCTATATCCATTCTACAACCCAAATTTAAATTAACATGTCTAATCGAAAAAAGGCAAAGCAAACATAAACAACAGTACTAAGAACAAACAATTTGCCACCTCCAATGAAAATTAGTACCACTGTCGAAAATTTTCAAATCAAAATCAGCATAACTCAAATGTTCATACTAACATTAATATTATAAGTGCAACTTTCCAAAATCTCACATGTAGAATTCGATACACAAAAATCAAAAACCGAAACTTTCTTAACGAAAAATGTTGTTCCAAAAAAGAAAAGGATAGTAATCGAGAGAATTCGGAAAATTGGTCTGAGTTAGGTTTTGTTTGGCAACCTACAAATTAAACTGCACCACATATTTGAGTTTAAGGAGGGACCATAATTCCAAGAAAGGTGTTCACGTACAAAAATGAGTCAATGAATATGAAGTCGAACTTAAAATCAAGGATGATTTTATTTCATTTTCCCTCGCAACTCAAACCCTAGCAATTAAGTCACAGTCCAAATATTTAACAAGCAATTGAAGTATAGATATTAATTATGCTCATTTATACTGTTCAAGGGGAGTAGGGTACAATACAATCCTCACAGGAGCTTATTATTAAATAGGGTAGAAAAAAACCCTCATGAGCAGCCAAGCAGCAATTATTTTTCAACATTCGCGTTTCACATTTCGGACAAATAAAAGTAATAGTCACACACGAGCAAATATATTCATAGAGTACATCATACCGGTTAGCACAGCCGAACCCCTTGACAATTTTCAGGGCAGGCAGAATTCCAACAAACAAATTTGCACTGTCTTCGTCGTCTCACTCAGACATGGAAAATTGTCTCATAAGCAACACTACTGTTATTGTATCTGTCGGAATATCTATATATATATTATATATATAAAACAAAGATAGTGAGAGAGAGAGAGAGAGTCGTGGATTCTTGCCTTGGAAAAAATTAGCCAATATTCATCGAGCCACTCTGCTGGAGCAAGGGCAGATCAAGAACGATGAGAAAATAGCATCTTTCCGATTCTCTAATGTACTGAACTTCTCCTTTCATAAGCTTCAATATTTTACGGCACATGCTTAGCCCTAGACCTTCTTGAGTCACCCATCGACTGCTGTGGAACATGTCCTGTACTAGCTCTGGTGGAATACCTTCACCTGGGCTCACAATCCTTCATTGTCCAAAAACCGATACATTTTGTAAAATTTGTAAATAATAAATAAAAAAAATTATAGGGCGTCAGAAAGTTAAAATTGAACCTAAAATTTCAGGCTTAGAACAGCTTCAAGAATGAAATACCCGAATAATTGGACAGTAAAGCATGCTATACTACCAAATGGAAAAAAATGGCATTGATTAAATCATATATATATCAAGATGGGAATTGTTTTTTTTTTTTTTACCTAAACTCGATGTGCATAGTGGTTCTTCCTTCAGAAACTTCCTTCACGCTTGGTCTAAGTTGAATTTCAACCCAGCCGTCTGGAGATGGTGCATATCGAACCATACTGAGTAGAAAATCTGCCAAGACCTGTTGAACTCTAACTTGATCACCGTAGACAACCAGTGTCTTCACTTCCTCTGGTATATCACGAATCAATTGCAGATCTCTCTCTCTCAACAACAACATTACTTGGCTAACGACAGCATCTATTACACTACCGAGTACAAATTCTGCTGTCTCAAGCTCCAAAAATCTACCATATAATTATCATATCACTAAATTAGTATAGAAAATTAAGAGCATAAAAATAAATTGTCTGACAATAATAGAAATTCAAGGAAGACATACCCATCCTCAATGTTTTCAAGATCAACATCCTTCATTATCTTCAACATCTGCTTCTCACAAGCAGCGCTAGTCTCGAGAAACTGCTTTTGGTTTTCGGTCAAATCCGTGGCTTCCAAGAGTGAGTTAGTGAAACGTATACCGCTTAGAGGATTCTTTATTTCCTGGCAAATATAAGCCAACTCTTTCATTTTTGAAACAGTCGTCCTCTCCTGTTGTTTCTGAATTCTCAAAGTTTGCTGTAGCTCGGGGCTAGCAATCTGCAAGAAGCAAAAAGCTCCAATAATCTGCCCATCCATGTTCATCCTCTTGTTTGCGGTCAACAGAGCTTGCACATATCTCCCACTCTTGTCTACGAAAGAAAACGGGAACTTGTCTGTGTCTTGCCCTCCAATTGCATTGTGCAAGACAATCATGAATTTTGTCATAGCATCGGGACCCTTTAAGCGGCAGCAACTGCCGAATATCTCCCCAACTAGCATCTTCCCTATGACTTCGACTCTACTCCACCCGGTCAGTTTTTCCATGGCGGTGTTCCATTCGGAGCAACATGTGTTCTCATCGGAAGCAAATATAGGTGGTATGAGAGCGCTCGGACTGTGTACAATTGCCTTGTAATCGCCTTGAATGTGCACAAACTTGTCCATTACCACTTTCTGGCCGGTCACATCTTGACCAACAAAGCATACACCGACTATACTGTTTGTATAGTCCTTGCTTGAGCAAGCGTTGACTACCACAAACACATCTTTCTCGTGGTGATCGGTGCCGTATGTCCTCAATCGTAATTCGACATTCTTATCTTCCTCACCTGCATTAATTAGTTTTTCTCTATAAGCTAATAGAGAAACAAACTAACCTAAGGAACAAATAGGATTTATACTCGATACTAAAAAACAATAGCGGAAAGCAGAAATTAGAGAGAAATTAGATAGAAGAGGAGGCAACCTCTCAAAGCATGAAACAGAAGCTTGTCGGCAATTTCTTCTGATTCTTTGTGAACAAGATCATGAACCAATGACTTCCCCATTGCTTCTTCAACGGAAAGTCCAGTCAGCTCCGCAATTTTCGCATTCCAACCATTTATGCGGCCTTCAACATCCACAGCAAATATAGGAGCTGTTGCAGTCTCTATCAGCCTAATCATTTCTCTGGCAACAGAACTTAGTTCGTCCATTCCTTGCTGTAACTCCAAGTCCTCAACATGGGCATCCACCACCGCCTTCGAGTTGCTTCCATCTGCTCCTCGAAAAGAATCTCTCAAAATAAGCTGCAAAGAGTGAATTGCATCCATCTCTGCATTCTCCCATGGCATGCTCCTTCTCTTGACCACTTCAAGAAACGCCTTAAACGAAGAACGAGGATGCATCCGAAGGCCATCATCTTTATCTTCTGGATGATGCTTCGCACCGCCCCATTTGATTTCTTTTCCCGTGTGTGAACGGAACCAGAACAGAATATCACTCGAAGTGATATACGCAACAGCCATTCCACAAACTGCATCACCTAGAGAGGCTGCCCCAGTGTAACCTGCATCAGCTAAACTATCGGTGCTCAAACCTGTCGAGTCGCCATGACAAGCCAACAGCCACTCCACAATATCCTTTATCTGCGCTTCGGTTGGTGTCACTCCAAGAGGGTAGTACTTCCCCTTGTAGTACAGTGCAGCTCCATCACATTTCAATAGGTCCATTATACTAGGGCTTTGTGTAACAATACCGGTAGGCGAATCACGAAGCAACATATCACACAACAGGGTTTGTGTCTTCAGAACATGTTTCTCGGACGACTGCGAAGCGAGCTGTAACTCCATTTTCAGCTGAAGCCCAAATGCCTGCATCAAGAATTCACAAGCGTAACGAAGTGGGAAAGGTATACACCGTGCAGATGTGTGATGGCCGACGACCAATCCCCACAGCCTCATTGACTGCCTTCCTTTAACACCATCTTCATCACTCCCATTGACAATAACTGCCAATGTCAACGAGGCAATAGACCCCATATTCGCCATGTACTGGGCATGGCAGCCATGTGGGGCCCGAAGTGTTGACCCCACCAAACACAAGGGCTGCATCAGTGCGTCATCTTGGACGACCCTCACAGGCTTGGTGTGACAGTCGACAATCATTCTGACTCTATTTTGCTTAAACAAAAACCTCGACGCCTGTGGAATATCTGTGGAAGGGTAATGCAAACCGATATACGGCTCTAAATCGGGTCTCTTACTTTCAGCAACAACCTCACCGTGCTCGTCTTCATGAAACTTATAAACCATAACCCGATCATACCCCGTGAGCTCCCTCACACTATCTACTACAGTATCACACAAAAGCTTAATATCTCCACCTGGGAGTGATTGCAAATGGGAAATGGCTCTCACTGCAAGCTTCTGTGACTGGACTGCACCTGCAATAGACAGGGCAGGGTCCTCGGTTCTTGCGGGTTCTAAATCGATTACAATTCCCACATCCACCCGGTGCAAAATTGCATAGAAGGGCTTCCCAGAAGTTCTTGAATGAATCCAAACAGGATTCAACAGAGTAATCTCCCTAGCACCAAAAGCCTTCTCGAGCAATACAGAGCTTGAGGGGGTGAAAAGGGTTCTCACATCAGCCCCAATTGTCAAGATTTCCGGTCTCTCGAGACTCGGAACCGACTGAGGCGTTAAGGCGAGCATTTCGCGGGCGTTTTCCGAGTAAGCGATCACTCGGAAATTGGACTCGTCGACAGCTATCATGCAACCAAAAGGTTGGATGAGGCCGCCCCGCTGCATTTTCGACAAGTAGGCGGTGATCTGCTGCTCGGGAACAGATTCACTGTTGGTCCGAACACTTTGTGAGTAATTGAAGGACCGCCCGGACTCGCCGGATTGCTCGAAGACAGCATGGAGTCTAGCATCGGCGGTGAACTGTGCTACGGCCTTACTCATAGATTCGCCGGCCTTGACTAAGCTTGAATTAGGATTAACATTGTGGCTAGGATGATGGGATGTACCTGAAGACTGAGCTTGAGGTAAATCTTCAGAATTGCGACGATTATTCCCTTGTGTTGTTTCTCTCTTTCCTGAATCAGGCATATCAACAAACACTTCAGGGTCAGTAATTCATTTCCAGGTTAAAGTGGGCAGAAATTCCACAGGATTGCCGGATGTGCTGAGGGTGAAATTTTGGGGCACGTGTTGCTCTGCTTCTTGAAGTATTCATTTCATCGAACACTTGGTCTGCACTGGTCAGAAATCACTTCTGGATTTTCAGAGAAAAACTGGGCTGGAATTTTCAAGAATTTGGTTAAAGGAATTCTCGGTAAGAGATCATTTTGATGGTTTTCTAGAGGGGTCTGAGGCTTTGTGCACTCATTTTATTAGTTTCAACTTAAATTCATGCTCTTATAAAAAAAAAAAAATTTAAATTCATGCAAGAAAAGAGGGTTTAAGATAGAGAGACCAAATTGCAATTGAGTATGTAATTCAGTTAAAAATGTAAACTACATGGTAATTAAAAACTTTAGTTAAAGACAAATTGCATGAGTTGGAAATTTCTTGTGGATATGAACAACTGGGGGCCAATATTTAACATTAGTGGTCCGAGGATTTGACACGTGGAACTCTAAGGTTCACAACTTTATATCCCTTTTCGTTTTTTTACTTGAACAGAAAAAAAAAAATATTGAATATAGAGATAATGCAAATCCCCATATGTAAGTGCGTTTGCATTTTTTAAATAACCGTTACATAAAATACCAAAAATAATAGATTTGAAAGAAGAAATTTATTTTGTTTATTGTGTCAATAAAAAATAAATAAAAAAAAGGAGGGGGATAACAATGAAGCAACAAAAAATGAGGCAAAAGGTAGTGGTGGGACAGAGCAAAGTAATTGTCCATATTTCACTATCAGATCACATTCGCTCCCACGTGAATTCTGTACAATAATTCAAACCCATCTTCTCTCTCTCTATTTCTCTCTCTCTCTCTCTCTCTCTCTCTCTCTCTCTCTCTCTCTCTACATTACATTGCCAACAATATTTCTTGGACTCTATTGAAAGCTACTATGGTCCAGTCCTATATATTTATGCTCATTTTTTTCATCCAACTTTATTCTACATTACCCGCTCTAAATCTACACATTCTTCATATGCATGTATATATATATATATATATATATATATATATATATATATATATATATATATATATATATATGTGTGTGTGTGTGTGTGTGTGTGTGTGTGTGTAAATCAAGGTGAAATCCCCATTTTTCACACACACACCAAAAAAAAGAAAAAAGAAAGAAAGAAAAACTCTTGACCAATGGAAGTAATTGTTGTGAAGGAGTGACTAAATTAAATGTTAAAACCCACAAACTAAAGTTTTCAAATCTGTGTTTCTTTGGCAGTACAATTGAAAAAAGAAAGGCATAATAAACAAAGTGACAACTGAGGAAGAAAAAGAAAGAAAGAAAGCAACTGAACAAAAATGTGCAATGTGTGAGTAAGGCAAGAAATTCTTTATTCACTTGGTGTACAGAACATCTTCCCATGGATGGCGGTACAATGGTTGCTTCAGTCTCTTCTGGTCGAACGTGTGTCTGAAAGTTCCGAAAGCAAAAAAATAAATTACAATAAAACAAACTGCTTATTAAGGCTGAAATATGAATGTAATTCGAAAAATAAAAACACTAACCCGATGAGACCAATGGAACGTGCAAGCACAAAGAGACCGTTAAGATAACCAATACCAACAATCTCGTCTATTTCTTGTTTAGTGAACATTCCACTGCCCGCTAGAAGATCCAAGAATAGGGAACCAATTGCACCATCTACATTGAGTACTAGGTTGTTTGCTTTTGAAAGCGTGTATGTTTCTACTTCAACCGCATATTCCATGTACTTGACCGACGGAAAATTGGATCGTGCAAATAGTTGTAACAACTCCACTCTCTTATCTCTGTTGTCACCCCTCTTGATCCTTTTTTTTTTCCCCAATATTAACGAATTCGGTTACATTACCAGATTAACGTTATTCCGATTCAAACAAGAAAAAAAGGAAAGAAAAGGGATTATTTAATTTATTATAGTACCTGTGTCCGATACCAGGTACACGAATGCCCTTCTTTTTCATGCTTTCCACAAATTCATAAGGTGTAAGACCCTGTGGAAAGACACGCCACGTGAAATTACGAAAATGTCCATTCGAAATCAAGAAAATGGGATTATATATAATATATATAACTCACCTTGTCATAAGCATCCTTGAAGTACCGAGCAGCATCGTCAATGGCCCCACCGAATCGAGGACCAATTGTCAATAAACCTGTTTCGCACAATTGATTAAATGATAATAACAATTATTTATTAATTATTTTTAAAATTATTTCACACGTACCAGAAACGAGACTAGAGACTAGGTCTTTTCCAGCCCTAGCAGTTACAATGGTGTTGTGAGCACCAGATACACAGGGACCATGGTCAGCACACAACATGATGCAAATCTGACAAAACATTAGCAGTACTTAGAAAACAGGCACAAGTTCAAAAAACCAAAAAAAAAAAAAATTCATTAATTAAATAAATAAATCACCTCAATGAAACGCGAGCAATAATGAGGAAGGCTTCGTTTGAACCACAATAAAGAAATGACATCGCCTACACCTAATCCTTGCTCAACGATCGAAGACATTGGCACACCAGCATAGGTTGGCTCTTCACCTGCCAATTGGTTAAAAATGAAAAAAAATATCATGTTTGAGCATTTAAAATTCCTTCGATCTATTCATTGCATGGGAAAACATTGAACTAAGAAACAAAAAAAAAAATGAACTAACGTTATACCCCTATCATCAGATATTGTGGAAATAATATGCGTTGGAGCTCGAACTTTTCCACTCTTGATTGCTGTGCTCAGATCCTCTGGTATTTGAGGGGGTTTCACCTCTTTAACCGTTGTAACTTTGCCCCCCTCCACCTTATTAAAAACAAAAATAAAAAAAAGGTCAAACACCAGCTAGTAAATATAGATATTGTATAATATGTCTTTAATCAAATATCAGAAAAGTGCTTACCAGTTTCGAGAATGTTTCTTTTATTGCTCCTTCGAATGCTTCATAAGAAGTGGGAACGATAGCTCCAGCTTGTCTGAGTGCTTCGTTCTTGGCCTGTGCAGACTCCATTTCGCCACCGCTCTTAGCCCCCTGAATAATAAAATTAAAAAGCCTTAACACAAAATACTACAGTCTATGATAAAATAGAGTTAAATATACTCGGAAGAGGTAAATTTACTCACCGCATGACCAAATTGTACTTCAGACTTGAAAAGTGTAGCACAAGTTCCACTGACCCATGCAACAACGGGCTTGTTGATTTTCCCCGTTTTAAGGGCCTCGACTAGGGAATATTCGTCACGCCCACCAAGTTCTCCAAGAACAACCATCATTTTAATCTGTTCTCAATCGGAGAAAAAGATAAACAGACATTCTTGAAATATTTCATTGCTAAAGATGAAATGTACAAAGGATATATCAATTTGACAAAGTTGCAAGATCGAAAAAATGTTGTTATACCTGAGGGATATTGTTAAACCGAAGGACGTGATCGGATAGTGTTGATCCAGGAAACACATCTCCTCCAATTGCAATCCCTATTAATATAAATCACAATTAACATTAAAAAAAAAAACGGAAATATAACACAAATAAATGAAATTACACTAGGGTCCAAGAGTTAGATTACATACCCTCATAGATTCCATCAGTAACCCGAGCAATTGAGTTATATAATTCGTTAGACATACCACCCTGTATTTTAAGAGCAGATTTTTTAAGTGCTACCCTATTTGTGGTGAATAATTTATTATTTTAAAATTTTATATGCATCGTAAGCATAAAAAACACGCACAGATTTCGAGACGAAGCCAACAGATCCAGGCCTGTAAAGCTTGCATTGAATTATGTTATCAATTGTTCCAGCTGTATCACCAATCTTGAAAGCTCCAGCTTGTACACCTCCAACAGTAGCCGGGCCAATCAAAACCTGAAAAAAGTGCTCGTATTTGTAAGAAGATAACACTATTAAAAGAGAATGATAAATCAAGAAGGTGTCATGACATTTCGGTACCTTGTTGTTTGCCTTTGCATAGGCAATCAATTGTTTGGTGTCTGATTCGGGTACACCTTCGGCTATAATGGCCACAACTCTTATGGTTGGCTGCTTCAGAGCTGCCATTGATGAAGCAGCAGCACTGAAAAAGAAAAAAATGAAATTGAAGTACAGTGATTAGAAATAAAATCAGTAGCCGAGATATTAATAAAAAGACAAAACTAACCTTCTGAATGAGGCAAAGTTAATGAAAACATCAGCTGTAGGATGTGCTGCACAAGCAGCTTCAACGCTGCAACATTATAAAACGAACAATAAAACCTTAATAAGTCAAAAATAGGGATGATAAAATCAGCGTAGTTCGAGCAAGAACATTGTACATTTAAATGTGAGACAATACTAACTGCATAATGTTTGATGATCAAAAAAGCGTTTCGGGCTAAATTCATGAAAAATACAATTGCATTAGAGGAAAAAAAAATGCGAATGTGGAAAATATACGAACAAAGAAAAAGTAACATACGCAGAGTGAACTGGAATGGCAATCTCCTCCTGACCGAAAAATAGTTTCTGGAATCCCTCGGAACCTGGATTTATAATTCCGGCAACAGAAGGTGTTTCTCTCCCTGATTATACAACACAAAAAGTCAACAGTCAATTCATTGAATATTTCCCAAGAAATTCGCTGAATACGCAGACAGTTACTTGTAAGAAGTCGAATGAGGGCAGATATTTTCACTCGAACGTACCACAGAGGAAGTCGAAATCAAGCATCCGCTGAATCGGCAGTTGCTTGTAATTGTAAAACAGTGCCTGAGTGGTTCTCGAGAAAATTTGTCCGGTCGCCGCCATGGTTCTGTCTGAAAACAGCCCTGCAATTAAAAATAAAATCCTCAAAACACACACAATGCAGGACTAATTGATCACTGTAAGAAATTTTCAAATGAATTACTGAGAATGCAATCAGAAACTAAGTTCAACTAAGCACAAGCTATAGATTATAAATTCGGAGAAAAATGTAGAGAATGATCTGCAACCTAATTTCCATTACCATGACTAAATTAAGATTTCGATCCCTCTAACATAAATGTTTTTTTTTCATTTCACCAAACCATTACCTAAATTGCACTATTCTTCCTTGAGAGTAGCCATTGTCTATCAATCTTATATAATGCAACAGTCGAATTTACACAAATAAAAAACCAGAGAGATCTCTTCCCAAATCCAAAGGAAAATTCAAAATAAAAGCCACCTCAGTAAACAACAAAAACATGGCGTAATATTTCCTCGTAAACATCGAAAAATGCGCAAACGAAAACAGAGATCCGACACAGATAAGAATCACAGAAACACAATGAAAATGTGGGATAAAAACAGATCCAAGGATCGCGAATTACAGGCATAGAAACAAGGCAAAATTGAAGGTGGGAAAACAAAGAATTCGACAAAAATGAAACCTACCCTTTATCAACAAGTATACAAATAGGCGAGAACACGAGAATGGAATTTATACAATGGTGGGTGTGGGGGTTGAGATGGCAATGTGCAGTTAGTTAGCTCACAAGTAGTATGATTTATTTATATCTGTATATATTACACACTTCTGTGTGTGTGTGTTATTGTGTAGTTTAAGGTATTTTTGTTAGCTGTTCGTGTTTTACTGAGAATGAAAGCTTATTAGGTAGGTGGATCGTATGGTGGGGCTTCACATTTCATCACCCTTCAAAAATATTAATTATACACAAAAATATACATTTGCATATTCACCCCTGTATTTTACCATAATTACTAAATGCCCCAACTGACCCAATTGGACTGGGCTTTAGGGGGGAAATGCAAGTATTGGGCGAAATTGAGTATTATTTATTACATTTTTTGGACTTTTTTATTAAAATGGAAGAATTAAATAAAATATTTTAAATAAATTTATAGGGGTAATGGCAAATAGGTCCGCGACAAGGGCACTTAATTAAAAGAGGGACATCCAACTTTTTTGTCTTTCAAATAAATCCAGCACATTCAAACTTATTTTCAAATAAGGAAAATCCTTTTATATATACCAAAATTACCCCCAATTCATTGAAACTCAATTTAACTTCAATTTCATGATTTACACCTCAATTTAGCCCAATTTCATCAATTAACCAATTTTAACCCTAATTTCAATTTTGCCCCGCCACCACCGGAGACCGCCGGTCGCCGCCGTTGACCGGCGTTGACTTTTATTTATTATTATTTTTTTTGAAAAAAAAAAATTTCCTGAATTTTTTTTCCGGCAACTGCCGTTGACTTTTTTTTTTTTTTTATAATTTTTTTTTCTTAAAAAAAATATTTTAATTAATATTACTGTCTTGGCTGCTAAATTACTGTCTCCGACAGTTATTTAACTGTTGGAGACAGTAATTTAACTGTTAATTGACTTTTTTTTTTCTTCAAAAATATTTCAATTAATATTACTGTATTCGTTGCTAAATTACTGTCTCCAGCAGTTATTTAATTGTCGGAGACTGTAATTTAACTGTTAATTGACTTTTTTATTCTTAAAAAAAAAATTTAATTAATATTACTGTATTCGTTGCTAAATTACTATCTCCGGCAGTTATTTAACTGTCGGAGACAGTAATTTAACTGTTAATTGACTTTTTTTTTTTTTTTTCCTTAAAAAAAATTATTTTAATTAATATTACTGCCTTGGATGTTAAATTACTGCATCCAACAGTAATTTAACTGTCTTAGACAATAATATTAATAATATTACTGTTCGGAAAAATAATATTCATAATATTACTGTCCCAAACAGTAATATTACTGTCTGAGACAGTAATTTAGTAGTCCAGACAGTAATATTAATTAAATATTTTTTTTCTAAGAAAAAAAAAAAAAAGTCAACGCCGGAGACCGGCGGTCAACGGTGGTTGACCGGCCGAAAAAAAATTTCAGGAAAAAAAAAATTCAAAAAAAAAAAAAAGTCAATGCCGGAATTTGACCGGGAAAAAAACATTTCAGAAAAAAAAATATTTTCTGAAAAAAAAAGTTTTGGGGGTTAATGTGATATATTTGTTTAAATCCGAGGTCAATGTGTAATATTAAGAAAGTTAGAGCATAATAGGTGGAATTGATAAGAATTATATTATTAAGAGTATTTTAGATCAAAGACATGGGATGGACTTAATTGAGAGACTGTTTTTTTTTTGGACCAAAATGCATTTAAGTCCCATGTGATTGGCCTTTTTGCCATTTGACCAAATTTCTATAAGATAAGCTGAAACTCATCACAGTATTCAAAATAATTCCAAATGAATATTTATTTTATTTTATTTAATTGAATTACTATGATTATAACTTATCCTGAACTGGAAACTGATTATTCCTAAAAGGTGGGAAACAGTGAGTTAATGGCGCCAATATTTAAGGACTTAATACTCCCATTAATGAAGAGCAGCTCAATTTTCATTAATACAATTCAAAAACGTTACTCTCTTTTTCTTTTTTCTTTTCTTCACCCTTCTTATTTAACCATCAATTCCTATTATATATCATCACCTTTCCTTTTCTCTTCTTATTCCCAGCTAGCTAGGGAATTAAAAATAAAAAATAAATAAAAAAAATTGATGAAGAATCATCAGCTAACAAGGAAGAAAAAACCCTCAAAGATACAGATACAGACTAACTATGATGATTTCCCACTGTTTGTCTCGTCTTCTTCAATCCATATACATCAAGGTATTTTTATGTGTGTTTGCATGTGTGTTTGAGTGTGTGTAATCATCATTTTTATTTTCTACAGGATTGTGTGTGTAATTCTGGAAAAAGGGGTTTCTGATTAATCCAGCAATGTACAGTAAAATCCACGTGATTTTCTGGGCAATTATACTTTCTCAGGCAATAATCACAAACCCTAGTTCCTCTTCCTCACTCACAAACCCTGATTCCTTCATCCTGGCCTGTGGCTCCACAGCCGAAACTTCAACAGACAACAATGGCAGAAAATGGACATTCGATTCGAAATTCATCAAATCGAACGACGACTCTTCCTCCGCCTCCGCCGCCTCCGCCGCGCAGTCACAGGACCCCTCTCTCCCCTCCACAATTCCGTACATGACCGCCCGCATCTTCCAATCACAAACAACCTACCAATTCCCTATTTCCCCCAAACACCGCCACTGGATCCGCCTCCACTTCTACCCATCCTCCTACAGCACCAAATTCGACACCTCCACCTCCTTCTTCTCCGTCGCCGCCGCCGGATTCACCCTCCTCCACAACTTCAGCGCCGCCGTCACCGCCGACGCCCTCACCCAGGCTTACATCGCAAGGGAATTCACCCTACCAAAACTCGAATCAACCCTCCTCGATCTCACTTTCACACCCTCCGACAACAACAACAACAACTCGTTCGCCTTCATCAACGGCATTGAAATAATCTCAATGCCGGAAATCTTCCAACCAGCTCCGATGATCGGATTTTCCGACAAAAACATCGACACACAATCCTACACTCTCCAGACCATGTTCCGACTAAACGTCGGCGGCCAATACATCGCCGCCAGCAACGACTCCGGCGGATTGACCAGAACATGGTACAACGATTCACCTTACATATACGGTGCAGGATTCGGCGTCACAATACAGGCAGGCAAGAACACGAAAATCCAATACCCTTCAAAAGAGTCCGAATACATCGCCCCGTTAAAAGTTTACTCCACAGCAAGAACAATGGGGCCCAACGCAACAGTCAATCTGAACTACAACCTGACGTGGATTTTCCAAATAGATATGAACTTCACTTACCTAGTGAGACTCCATTTCTGTGAGTTTCAGCTCAACAAGGTGAATCAGATGGTGTTTAGTATCTTCATAAACAATCAAACAGCTGCGGCAGAAGCAGATGTAATAGCTTGGGCTGGCGGCGAAGGTGTCCCTTATTACAAGGATTATGCAATCTACGCAAGAGATGGTGTTGATCAATTGTGGGTTGCTTTGCATCCTAATCTTGATTTCAAGCCCGAATTTTCTGATTCGATTCTCAACGGGCTCGAGATATTCAAATTAAACGACACAAATGGGAATTTAGCCGGCCCGAATCCCGTTCCGTCTGCCATGAAATTCGAGGCAGAATTACAGAACGGAAGGCTTAGTACTTCTCCATCGAAATCAAGAAACACTGCGATTATCATAGGTTCTGTTTTATCCTCATTGGTTGGGTTAGGCCTAGTTTTCGGTCTGATTACTTTTCTCAACTACCGAAAGATACGACAAAGTGAAGAATTCTCAAACATTACTGCTAACGCTTGGTTGCCTCTTTATGGAAGCTATCGTTCTTCGAGAAATACTAACAGCAGCAAGAGCAGTGGAAGCAGCAGCCGAATCTCGAGTCTCAGTGGAGGGTTATGCAGGCATTTTTCCTTGGCGGAAATAAAACTCGGAACCGATGATTTCAGCGAGTCCCGTGTTATAGGTGTTGGTGGATTTGGTAAAGTGTACAAAGGCTTCATCGATGGGAAAACAACACCGGTTGCAATCAAGAGATTAAACCCTTTGTCCGAACAAGGCGTTCATGAATTCTTGAACGAAATCGAGCTTCTGTCTAAGCTAAGACATCGTCATTTAGTGTCCTTAATTGGAGCTTGTGAAGAAAACGATGAGATGATACTCGTGTATGACTACATGGCTAACGGGACTTTGAAAGAGCATCTCAATAAAACCAAGAGCAATCCACCTTTATCATGGAGGCAAAGATTAGGCATTTGCATCGGTGCTGCAAAAGGCATTCACTACCTCCACACAGGTGCAACAATGTACAGAATCATTCACAGGGATGTGAAGAGTACGAATATTTTATTGGACGAAAAATGGGTCGCCAAAGTTTCGGATTTCGGGATATCAAAAACGGGCCACCACCTCGAGCAGACACATGTCACCACGGTAGTGAAGGGCAGTTTCGGGTATTTGGACCCCGAGTATTTTAGGAGGCAGCAGTTGACCGATAAATCCGATGTGTATTCTTTCGGTGTGGTTCTTTTCGAAGTGCTGTGTGGAAGGCCGGCACTTAATCCAACTCTGCCAAGAGAGCAGGCTAGTTTAGCAGATTGGGCTATTTTTAACCATAGGAGAGATAGTGTAAAAGATATTCTCGATCCGAGCATCAAAGAGGAGGTTGACTTTGAGTGCTTGAAACACTTTGTTGAAACGGCGGTTAATTGTTTGTCCGACCATGGGATTTATCGGCCTTCTATTGGAGAAGTGCTTAAGAGTCTTGAATATTGTTTGCTATTGCAAAACGAACATGACGGGATAAATTTGGTGGATAAGCATGAAACATTGTTGAGAATCGAAGAGGGAGATGAAAAAATCGAGAAATTCGAGGATCGTGTATAGTGGAAATGCAGTGGATTATGCCTCCAAAAGGGAAAAAAATGGATTCTTGATTCTGTATTTGGTAGAATAGGGAATTTTCTTTAGCTTAGAGTGATGATGTATCTATGTTTTTTACTTTTTTGGGATCATTTTATTCATCTAGTTAGTTTAATTGAGATTGTTTTTATCACATGCTATTGGAATCTCCTGATAATTCATTTATAACAGATTTTATTGGATCAGCTTTCAACCCTAGCGCTTCATGTTTGTTTTACACTACAGTAGATACTCGATAAATTAATAACATCGCTTAAATAATATTTTTTTTCCGGCCCCGAGTCGGTAAAAATGTACTAATTAGTAATTATTAATTCGATAATTTAATATTTCACTAAATTAAAAGAAATTTACGGTTCAAAATTCTCAAATGTCTCACTTTTTTAATTTTATTCCCGACAATTCTCCAAATCAATCAAACAACACATAAAATCAAGTACAAATACAAGAAAAAGGAAGCCCTATTACATCATCAATTGCAAATACAAAAAAAATACAAAAAATACAAAAATTGGTTGTTGAACATTATTAATATTATTAATAATAAAAATAATAATAATAATTTGTTAATTATTATTCATGAAGGCCGCTTAGCATTTCCCAGTTATCACCATTATTATCCTTATTAGTAGTACTAATAAGCTGCGTCTTAGCATAACCGAGTTTGTCGAGGAAGTAATCCAAGGACGTGATTGGCTGGAGATAAACACCTATGGATCTGACGCCGTTATTGTCAGCGGTGCCGTGAAATCCACCAAACTGACGGTCATCTCCGAGTCGGAATATGAAATCTTTGTCCTTATTGACCGTGAATTTGCCATACGGACCGTATTCTCCACGGTTTGTGCCAAATGTAACTGAACACAAATTGTTGTTGTTTGAGCTCTTATACCCACTGATGTAAGTTATATACTCCGCCGGATGTTTTAGTTTCACCTGATAAAATCGGTCAAAAACGTGTACAACCGATCAAAGTAACGAAAATTAATCATTTAAATAAAATAAAATAAGTTAAATGGGTCTTAACCGAATAGGAAATTCCGATCAAATTATACACTAAGGTGGTGTTTGCAAAAAAAAAGAAAACTTACAACATCAAACCTATAGCCTTCACTTGTACCATGAGTTTCGGACAAAACGAGAGTTCCATTCTCGGCATATTCGAACTGAAGAGAATTGATTTCGTCGTCGTGAGAAACAAATATCTGAACTATTTTGCTGTGTCCCTTTTCATCCCAAGCTGTTCCATTCTTGCTTCCGGCTGGACCTATCTTTATCATATTGGTAGTAACATCGCTCATTTTTTTATTTATTTTTAATTAATTACGAGCTATAGGAAAAAAGATAATTTATATATAGTATGATATGACAATTGATGAAATAAAGTAGTCTATATATATATGTAGGAAAATATATATGAAATAGGTGATGAGATAAGATAATTATTGATGAACGTGAAGTCCATATACCTACGTACGTGCTTCTTTCCCATTAATTATTAAGTAATTATAAACTTTTAATTTGGCCACTCATTTTTAACAGGTTGTACGTTTACTGGCAGCAGATTTTACATTAATTAATAACAACTAATCATCATAGTGCAAAGCATTACTTTTTTTTTTTAAATCGTGCGATAATCATATTTCAATTCTGTACCTTAACTAGAAGATAAGGTTCAAAGTTAAATTAAAATTAAAATTAAAATCAATCAATAATTATTGGTATATTGATGGGTTTAGGCCCTTAAGTAATCTAACTTCGAGGCCCAATAAATATGGGCCCAAACCATGGTTCGTCGGAATGGAATAGTGCATTGTCGCGGACACTGTCGTTCCAGTTCCGTTGCAATGTCGCGGCAGGAACGGATACATTTTAATTAAAATGCGAAAAATTAGAATTAATGTCAATAAGTTTTTAGTATTAACATTACAGTATAATAATATACAAACTATCATTAAAACTCCAATTTTAATTTTAGAATAATTTTTTAAACCTTGAAAAGTAGAATTAAGGGTGAAAATGTAAGTTATGAAAATATCTCTTTACTTAAAGAGAAATAAAAAACAATTTGAACTAAATTGCAAATTTTGAAAACTTAAAAAGTCTACTGATAATCATGACAGATGTTCCCTAGCACCAAATCAAACAACATTTAAAGTGTTTGAGCTAATTGTAATTTTTTAAAACTTTTAATTAGAAGTTAAAAATTATAGTTTGAGATCTTTAAATCGTCGTTGGAAATCTGAAAAAGTAAATTATGATGATTCATGCCATTTCGGTACCCGTGACAACCGCGACCACTCCGATTTATTGCCATGTCCCGGTGTTCCGGCCGTTTGGCAAATTTTTTTGTTGTGGAACGGTTTGGTTACGCTTTCCGGAAGGCACCGTTCCCGTTTCGTTCCGGCCGTTCCGACCGTTCCAGCGAACCATGGCCCAAACTCAAGCCCAAACATTCCAAGTTTATGGGCTAACTTGTTTTTTCATAAAGATCCACACGTGCTAGAAAGAAATGAGCACGTGCAAGTTCAAACTAATCATAACCACCTTAACAGCAAAAACCAACCACCACCACCACCACAAGAAAAATTCTTCCTAAACACATGCAATGCAATGCAATGCAGCATGTGGTGATCCTATTTTCACTCACAACTACCTAAAAAAACACACACACACACACACACACACACACAAAACCTCCGTATATATAAACATGAAAACCAAACCATAATTCATCCAAACTCACACCTCTCTCTCTTACTATCTGCAAACAGCACAATCCCAAATAAATAAATAAAAAAAGAAAAAAAAAATGGATCCCCATTCCAACATCAAACTGCTCTTCGTATCCCTCTTCATTTTGGTGTCAATCGACGCAGCAAGGTCGAGAAATCTCATCGGCGTGGACCCAAACCTGAAGAAGATATGCGAATACACAGACCACCCGGCTCTTTGCTTCTCGACGGTCACACCACTTCTCAAGGGCGGCAAAGCCGACGCAAACACCGTCCTTGAAGTCGCCGTCAAGGCCGGCCAAACCCTAGCTAAGAGCGCGTACGCCGTCGTGAAATCTCTTGCGGCGAAGCCCGGAACCCCTCCGGACGTGCTGTCCACTCTCAAGGACTGCAAGGACGGCTACGAGACGGTGGTGGACAACTACGAGGAGACGTTGGGTTCCTTTTCCGTGCACGATTTGGGCACGGTTAGGGCTAAATTGAGCGGAATTTTGACTTGGATTGGGGATTGTGAGGACGAGTTTCACGACATGGGGGCCGTTTCCCCCTTGACCGGCTATGCTCAGATGTTGACTAATATGACAAGCAATTGTCTGGCTATTTCTGAGCTCTTGCTTTGATTCATTTAACTAATAACCGTTGCTTCTTTTTTTTTTTTTCGAGTTCGTGTTACACATTGTGCTGTCTGCAGAGAAAGGTTGTGAGAAACTTGTCACCATGCTTTTAATAAATAAGTTTCAGAATTATAAATTTCATATTCGGGAGGTTATAAATGTAATTTTTTGGCCTTCTATATATATGTTTATGTTTTGTTGCTTTTATTTGGTTTGGTTTTTTCCCATTGCATAAGTGTATAATGATATATTTACATTTGTGTTGATTATAAATATATATTTATCACACTTGATCAGCTGCTGTTTTCATCGTATAAGAACAAACTTCACACACAGAATAATAATATTTCTAAATCATTTGTCATATAGTTTGTGGATTCATATGTATCCAGTTAGTACAGGGGCGGCTGTTATTCTAGCTAGTCTTTCAATAAAACATAATTAAAGAAAGCTCGAAAAGCACATGTTCTGTTTCGATGTACTTGCATCGAAATTCTTGATCGGAAATTACGAAAAATAGCTGGCCTATATATACACCGATATACACCGATACAGTATTTGCAATGAATTCGAAAAATTGCTGGTCGGCTGCTGAATTCGAAAATTCCATTTTTTTTCATCAAAACAATGTAAAATACATAATAAATAACAATGATATTATGAATGTAATTTTCGAAAAAAATCAAAATTATTTACAAATTTTTAAATCTGTTCGGGAATCCAATTTTCATATATGTATTTTCAATTTTTAATCCGAAAAATAGAAAAATCGAAATCTTGATTCGAAATGAATAATATTATTTCAAAAGTAGAGCATTCGTATTATTTAATAATAATAATAATAATAATCATTAATCACCATCACAAAATCGTGGTTCCACCATCACAAAATCGTGCTTCTGGACTGATCACACGAGTTCATAGCTGATAAAAAATTTAGTGAGGGTGACAGTAGACAATCCCTTTTCTGCATCTCGGTGCAATCTGTCCTTTTCCCTTTTCTCGATACATATCTAATCGACACTAAGCAGAGAACAAAATTGCAAATCAGAGAGAGAGAGAGAGAGTCTAGAGAGAGAAAAAAATGGAGGGAACCGACAGAACGGCGATTACCGTAACGTGGCTGAAGAAGCACCGTCTGTTATACGTCGGAGCCACCCGCCACCCTTTCATTCTCGGAATCCGCGACGGTTCCGTTGATATCTCTTCCTTCAAACGGTGGCTGGTAAGTAATAAAAGAGAAAAAAAAAATCGATTCTTTACTTATTTCGGCCTTCAATTTCTTCGTGAATTTAATTGCATTTAATATGTTTTTTTTAATCGAATTGTAAGAAAATTTCCTGAGTTATTAATATTAGCAACATTGAACAAGCCTAGTATAAAATATTTTTTCTAGATTTTTTTTTTGGCGGGAGAATGTGACAAGGGCATCTTTGTCAAATAATAAAACGCAGGGGCAAGATTACATTTTTGTTAGAGCATTTGTACCTTTTGTTGCTAGTGTTTTGCTCAAAGCTTGGAAGGAATCAGATGACAAAGCAGATGTAGATGTCATTTTGGGCGGCATCTCTGCTTTGAACGACGAGGTTTCGTGGTTCAAAAACGAGGCTTCGAAATGGGCCGTTGCTCTCGACAGCGTCGTTCCTCAACAGGCTAACCTTAATTATTGCAGGTAGTTTAGTTTAGTTTATGTTCTTTTGGTTCTGCTTTAATCTTGATCATGTTGTGAAGTCTGTAATTAATGCATTGTGTTTGTAGGTTTTTGGAAAGGTTAATGAGTCCGGAAGTGGATTACACTCAGGCAATAACGGCGTTCTGGGCAATCGAAACTGTTTATCGAGAGAGCTTCGCTCACTGCTTAGAAGAAGGTTCTAGAACTCCACAGGAACTAAAAGAAACTTGTCAGCGATGGGGAAATGACGGTTTTGGTCAGTATTGCAGTTCCCTTCAAAGCATAGCTAATCGTCGTTTGGAGAAAGCGTCCGATGAAGTGGTGGCCAAAGCTGAGGTCAACTTGTTGGAAATACTCGAACATGAAGTCGAGTTTTGGAACATGAGCCGTGGGGCGGCAGTTTGAGAAGGTATCCTAGATTTTAATAATGTAATAAAATGCTCTTACTTTCTTGGATCTTTTTATCTGGTGTGTGTTGTGTGTTTTGTGTATATGCACTGAGTGGAGGAGGATCTTGTACATATGTTCATCATAAATATGTTAGCTTTTCTTGCAACTTTTAACCGGTTTAAATGATAAAGATACAACCCGATAGTATATTTCACTGGGTGTAACATAGATTTGACACTCTAAACCTTGAAAGAGAGAATTCAAGCATTAATGTTCTTAGCGAGATGCTAAATGTCGATTCAATTTTATCGTTAATATTTCAACTTCAAATGTAGTTTTGACCATTTTTCAGTTTGAATTTGACACATTTCAAAAAATCAAATTTGTAGTCCTTTGAGTTAGCTCTTTAATCCAATTTAAATCAGCCATATTGAATCTCGAGTGAGAGAGTTATGCATAAATGGACACTTGGTACAAATTTGGGATTTTGAGTAATTGCCAAATTCAGACTGAAAAAATTTCAAAACCACATTTGAAGTCGAAACATGATCGATAAAACTGAAACAACATTTAGTATTTCAGACGTTGATAATGTAGCTTCCTATTTCAATCACAAATAGCAAGCCATCAACATCCATCCACACAACTCATAACTAATCAATTCTACACTAATTATTACAACAAAAGTAGCACCAAAAATCTCAGACAGAACCACTAAAATCACTAGGCATCATCACCATCTCTTCAATTTTCTCATCACCAAACAAGCCCTTCTCGAAAATCCAATCCTCCAACATAACTTGAGAATTAATAGGCTGATCAGTAGGCACAAGATGACCGGCATTCAACACGACAACATGGCTCAAACTCTTCCATTTCTGCACATAGCCAGCTAGCTTTTCCTCCACCCTCCAAACTTTCCTCTCCGCACCCAAAAACCCGTTTATCTCTTCCCACTTCATCTTCTTCATCCAAGCCAAGCTCGATACCACACCGTCTCTCAAATCACACTGCCCTTGATACAACAAAACCTTCGTATTCTTCACCAAAAACTCCACCATATACCTCACGCTCTTCATCACATCCTCCTTCATAACCTCCTCCACCACGTCACTACAAAGCTCAAACACTAAAGACTCGTTAACTCCCAACGCCTTCTTCACTTCCACATTGTTCAAAAACTTAGCAACTAAATCGTCTTCGTAAGGAACAAGTCTCCTGAAATCGTACAAAGTGGCCAGTCCGGTCATATTCGATAGTGTCCTCAAAACCCTAGTTCTTGCATCGGTCGCCTCGCTCCAACTACGGTTTTTCACTAACTCGACGGCTTCTAACTGAAGTTTCTCCAAAAGGGTTTTCTGATTTTCGTTTATCAGACCCAAATTGTAGGCGTTCACTGCGTGAGTGGATGCTTGAATTTCGGGATCGGTGAGCCCGTTTCCGATAGCAACACCGCGTAAATTAACTCTGTTTTCGACAGGCAAAACAGAGTTCTTTTTCAGAATGTAGTATCCAAGTGCCGGCAGATACTTCCCAGCATAGCTCTCACCGGTTATGTAGATTGGCCTGGTTTTGAAAGAAGCATCCAAGGCGAGGAATTTCTTGATTGCAGTAAGGAGGTGTTTGGCTACTTGGTGCTGATTTTGGGGTATTTCTTGAGGTGAATTAGCGACGCTGAATCCGGTGCCGATTGGGTTGTCGAGAAAAAGTAGGCCGAAGATTCTGTTCCATGAACCAGGGTTGGGTTGGAGGGAGAGGTCTTGGTTCAGTAGCCACGGCCCGAGCTCGTATAAGTTGGCTATCATGGATGAGCAGCCCGGCCCGCCTTGTAGCCAGATTATGATCGGAGTTTCGGTGGTGGTGGTGTTGTGACAAGTAGTCCGAGCTTCGTAATATGTGTAGAAAATGGCGGAGCCGGTGGTGGAGTTGACTGTTAAGTAGCCTGATTTGGTGGGGAGGGCTTCTTTGGGGTATGATGATGTGGCGGCGGAGTGGCGGAGGACGGCGGCGATGATGATGATGAGGGAGAAGATGACGTTTCGTAGTGGACATCCCATTTTCTCTGAGTTTTGGTTTGTGCGGAGTGATCGGTGGAGACTTTTGGAACTAACTTTAACAACATCTGCCTTTTTTTCCCACTCATAACATAATAAAGTGATACAAACTATGCACTAATTTATTTTATTTTTTTTTTCCAATTCTTTTTAGATTCTTTCTATAATCCACTATTTTTCTATTGGGGTAAATACACTTTGCACCCTTAAACTATAGGGGTGGTAACACTTACCCCCTTAAAGTTACAAATGTAACACTTACCCCCCTCATTAATGAATTTAATGATAAAACTTTGACTTTGAATGATGTGGCATTTTTTCTTCCCAAATTGTCCTTCCAGCTATTATATTGATGCATATATAATAAAATAGTTTCAATAATATTTCAAAAACTAAAATTTATAAAATATAATAATTATTAAAAAAATATTTTGATTTATGTTTAAATCCACATTTTAATTACTATAGACCCTAATATAAATAAAAATCTCAATATTTTAAAAAATATATAAAATACGTTAAACATTCGCGAGAAAAAAATATTCAAGACTTAAATGACCAATTTTTTTATAATAATTATTGATTTGAAAATTTATTTAAGTTACTTAAATATAAATTTTAATAAAATAATATTTAAATATTTAGACGTTTAAATTATAATTTCTTATTAACTTTTGAATACATTTTGTGATTCTCCAAGTAAAAAGTGAGATGATTATATTAGAGTCATATACGCATTAAAATAACTATATAAACTATAAAATTATACTTAAAATTCGAATAATCGTTAACTTTTATTAGCTACAAATGAACACAAGGTAAAACAAAAATAAACTAAAATTCAATTTTTTTCATTCATAGATTTACAATATTGAAATAATAAAATTAAGTTTTGGCAAAGTTGCCGAATTTTTTATTATTACATATTCATTATTTATTTAATGGCTAGAAGGACAATTTGGGAAGAAAAAATGCCACATCATTCAAAGTCAAAGTTATACCTTTAAATTCATTAATGAGGGGGGTAAGTGTTACATTTGTAACTTTAAGGGGGTAAGTGTTACCACCGTTATAGTTTAAGGGTGCAAACTGTATTTAGCCCTTTCTATTTGCAACAAACCTAGATACCGGGCATCGGTTCTTTCTCCAGCAAAACATTATAATGAGTCGAAAAATAGTTGGTCCTGAAAACATTCGATTAACAGAAGAAACAAACATACATGGTAATACGAATCCAACAAGGGAATTTAACGAGTCACAATGATGCAGTCTACAAGTCGAGTTACATGGTCAGCTTTATCCACTCTATTACGTTGCATAAAAATGCAGTTTTTCAATCCCTCCAACGATGCCCACAATTCGGATTACAGCAAACGAAGAACAGAGTCATTCCTTCTTCTCCCCTAGCAGTTGCCTGTACGATAAATCGGAACAAGAAAGAAGATAAAAATTATGTAAATTTGTTGCCCATCTTCAGATATACGAGAAGTTCACATAGAACCAATATTGCGTAATTTTGCATGTTCACATATTTTATGCTACTGGATTTGTCTTTGGACGCGATAAACGAGTCTCAAACAAGTGGAAGATAAAGAGTAGATTCAAGAATGTGTTGGGAGCTTCTACTGTATCGTATATTTGGATATAACGCATGGCTTTCTTGAGAATGTCCGGAAAAATACGGGGTTGTCGATATTAATACTGTAGTTCATTTCCTCTTATATATAATTCTAGAATTCCTCTCTTCTAAAAGTATCTAAGGAGACAGCAAAAAAAAAATTACCTGAAAGAAAACAGCTTCTCCATGACCACAGTTGGCACAGCGCACAGATTTAGTACGAGGTAGCGTTGGATCAGCAGCAACATCTTGCAAGACTTGGGTGCGCTCTCCAACAGAATGATGTATCTCGTTTCTGTACACACAGTTGTTTTCAGCAACCTCCTGCAAGTCAATCCAAAAGTCGGGAGCTTTTCATCATTGGGAAATAAGCAAGAAGTAAGTTATAACATAAAAAGACAGCTTTATAGAAGCAGCAGGTTCAATTCAACAAGGAATGATACAAAATAGGGAGAGAGCGAAAGGAAACATCATATAATATAGCAAAGACTATTTTCTTGATTTCATAGAGGATAATTTAGAGCAGCGGTCTTAGAACTGGAGTGGTGGTCAAACCAGTCTAGCTATTATCATAAGTGGTTCGAACAGGAAGTCATAACGGGCTAAATTTGAGTTAAAAATAAAAATGAGATTGATTAAATGACACAAAATGAAGATGGAATTAGAAACAAAAAATGAGACCAAGATGACATGAAAAAGGAAAAAAATAATGATAACCGTTTGAATGTCAAATTATTCGGAACATCTTTCTTGAACTTTTCAGAATTTGAAATTTTAAAAAGTTTTCAAGAGAAAAAGAGAAAAATACGAAACAGCCAAAATTGGTACAACATGTTTTCATTACTTCTTGACTGATTGACCAGCCATACGATGTTTGGGATTCAACTAGTTTCTGAGACACTGCATTAGATAACACGCATTAGATAACACAGCATAAATCGGAAACATCCGTAATCTACTAGAGAAAATTGAGTAGTTTTTTTTCGAATACTATTTGTCCTTCTTAACTCTCAGATCCAGTTCACTTGCTCGTAATTTCGGATTTATATTAACAAACAAATTTACAACACTAACTTGGTGTAGTTGGTAACATAGATACAAAATTATAATTCTAGCAACACTCCCAATCCCTATATCTATACATACAATCCTCAACCTCCAAAGCACTCTCAAAGTCATGAACAAATACCCAAATCAGAACTCCAACAATTAAATTAGTAATGACCTAAATATGAACGTTGTTAAACCCTAATTAAACCCTCAGCATTACAACCCATCCCCCTTACAAAATTAAAATACCCACACACAAAAAAAAGAAAAAGAAAAGGTAAGAAATTAGATAAAGAACAAAAATGAAAAAAGGAATGGTACCTGATGATCGCAATTGCGGCAACCATAAAGCAGAATCTTCTGATCCTTGTCTTCCTTTGGGTACAAAATATTGTTGCTGCTCATACACAAACACAAACAAACTATTAGCTCAATCTTCGGAATCCAAAGATAGAAAATTAAAATAACGGAAATGGAAAACAAAAGCTTGAGCATACATACACACA